AATAAATAAATGTAATAAATAAAAATAAATAAATATTAAAAAAAAATAAAAAAATAAATTGCCTTTTGATTTTTTATTTTATAATGCCAAAATAACATTACAAGGTCTACACAGACTCAAAAGGGAAAATAGGCAAGAACAAGGAGTCACACAAAGCGCAGCAGGCTCTAGCAGACACCAGGAACCCGGGGCACTGGCTGCCTCCAGAAGGGGCATCCAGTGGGGTTACAGGAACACAGGGCCACTCCCGCTTTGCCTTTTAAATTCTGAACCATATAATTACCTGTTAAATAAAAATACTAGCAGCTGATGAGATAGCTCAGTGGTCTAAAGCGACTGCTTATGCAAGCTTAGGCAAGCACAGGGATCACTGGCACCACCCAGTACATCAGGGCAGGCTGAGACAGCAAAACAAAACAAACAAACAAAAAAAAAAACACTAAAAAATTTTACAATATAATATTTTTAAGTTTTTTCTTTTTTTTTTTTTTGTAGCACTGAGGATCGAACTCTGGACCTTGTGCTTGCCAGGTAGGGGTCTAAGCCCTTGAGCTATCTCCTTAGCCCAATAAAAAGATTTTTAAAATAAAGGACACCTTAAATTAAAATAAAAAAATAAAGGGCATCTTTCATAAAAAGTCAGCACACAGCATAAAATTAGATATTAGCATAAGACAACACAGGGATAATCCAATTCAAAATTTAGTGGTTTTTTAATATTTACTTTCAAATATTTGTTATATTTATTACATGAGATTAACTGTTGCCCAACTTTCACCTAAACTGCAGATGAATAACGCATATTGAGTCTCTCTAAATAACTTTAAATTTCAAAAGCATTAATGAGCTGGGCATGGTGGCATACTTCTGGGGCTAAGGCAGAAGGATCACTGCAAGTTCAAGGCCAGCCTAGGCTACACAGTGAGACCCTGTCTCAAAAACAAAAAACAAAACGAAAACCGCACTGAAGTTCACCGCAGAATACTAGAAACAGCAAAAAGAATATTTATAATGGGACTGTACCATGCATCAGAAAATGCACTCTGCTGGAATATGCTACTTTCGCACTACCATAGTGTGAACACGTTAACATGCTATAGCTTAGCCCTGATGCCGGCCATTCTGAGAGAAAGCTGGATATACACTCTTAGTCGGTGTAGATTCCTAGAAATCAAACTGCTAGATCCACAGGTACACACGAGTCAATACTCATGATTGCCAAATTACTCTCTGAATATAGTATAGGAATTTATACTTCTAGTACTGAGTACAACATATTCTGAATTAAGCAAAACAAAAAAAAATAAAATAAAATCGCTGAGATGTATGTTAAGGAAGCTAATATGCTCCCTTCACTTTGAAGATTCCCCAAAGACAAAGTAGCTTCATAGCTCTTGAACAGGTTACTAGAGAGCATCCTCTTACCACCCTGAAAACACTTTGAATGCAAAGTATCATTAAGCAGCACTTATAAACTGCTGTTAATCGGAAATATACATGGGGAGCCTCTCTCCAACTCTGCTGATGGGTAACAGCATTACATGTGAACTTGTCAAAGTACCAGGGATCAGCTACACTTCTGTTTTTTCTGTTTCTAAAAAGTAACTATGGCTGGGGAGATGGCTCAGTAGAATAAGCGCTTTCCTGGCAAGCGCAAGGGCCTGAGCTCAAGCCCCGTTCCACCAAAAAAAAAAAAAAAAAAGTAACCACTAAGAGGATGCTCTCAATAAACAGGACCTTCAGCCCTTCAGTGGCACTTGTATTCAACTAGAATACTTAGCATTCTTCTATTTCTAGTCCATAAAAAAAGGATTCCAAATTCTTTTGTTATAATCCAACTATCTGAGAAGAGCTGTACTCTTGATCTGCCAATGGCAAGGGCTAACCCCAAGGAACACCATAAATTTAAAAAATTGATCCACGAGAAGTCTAGGGACTCAACACAGCCACCTCAATTACTAGGTCTGGAGACCAGTGAAGAAACAAGATGGTCTAATTCAGAACTGGTATCTAATAAAATACCTGGTGGCCACATATCTGTACTCTCCGTGATACTTACACAATCTTCCTGCTGTCAGGGTAACTTGGTCCCTGACATAAGGAGACCCCTGTAAGAAACAAAACAACTCTTAACCAACAACTCTTATCTTATACAGGATATGAGATGGAAAGAGGTCTGTGCATCCCCTCACCCCAAGACAGCGCAGAACTAGCTGTGGATGCCAATATAATTTTTATCACACTATATCTTGGTTCTCAAACTTTTCCAGCAAAGCAACCTTAAGAGCAGAGACAAATGGGTATGAGTGCTTAAGAGTGGGTGTGGTTGTTTTTTTTTTTTTTTTTTTTTTTTTTTTTTTTTTTTTTTTTTTTTTTTTTTTTTTTTTTTTTTTTTTTTTTTTTTTTTGTGGTACCAGAGATCAAACTCACGACTTTCTGCTCGCCAGGCAGGCACTTATGCCACTGATCTATATCCTCCACCCCTGGGTGTGTGTCTAAGGAGGAAAGGGAAGATATCTGACGGCATAACCCAAAGGAGTTTTATCATCTCATTTACTTTAGAAACTCATAAATCTGTATTATCCATGTTTCCCTAATAAAGTATCTATAGTCCCTAAATCTTCTAATCCAACTATAGTGTGAAAAAAGACATGTGACAGCTTATTTTGAAACCTCACCTTTGGGCTGGCGAGATGGCTCAGTGGTCTAAAGCACCTACTTAGAACAAGCTTAGCAAAGCACAGGGACCACGGTTCAATCCCCCAGCACCACATGCCAGCCAGCCCCTCCCCCTGGTGGGCTGAGCTGGCCACACACACACAAAATAAATAAATAAACAAATAAATTTAAAAAAATTTTAAAAAAGAAAAGAAACCTCACCTTTAAATGGAGAAGCAATGAATGGTTGGTCTGGGTTTGAGTGAACTAGATTAGGAACATTCCTGTTGGAACCCTAGCAGCATTTTCCAGCTTGTTTCAGAACAAAGCAAATAAATTTCCCATCTCTTAACTCATTGTCTTTCTGTGCTCTTCCTGAAGTCTTCCACCCTACTCAATCTCAATGTGAGCCTCTTTCTGCCCACCAACTGTCCTTATCACAAATAACTGCATTTCTTCAATTAATACCTAAAAATTTGGGATTCTTTTTTTATGTATTTAGTACAGGGTCTACAGGGTCTCACTACACAGATCAAACTCATAGTGATCCTCCTGGTTTCAGCCTCCCAAGCGCTGGGATTACAGGCGTGCGCCACCATGCCCAGTCTCAGTCACTGTCTACAGCTGCCTCCTCTAAATATACTTTCTTTCGCCTTTTCCCACTTCAGATCTAACTCCTCCCAAGACACCAATTGAGAAACAGCTTCCCCTATTCCCAGCAGGTCACATACACTCGCAGATCAAGTCAGTAAGTTACTTCTGTGACCAGCACCAGTGACTGCAGTGCAATTCTAAGAATAGCATGTCTCTGACCTAGAATATAGCAGGTCATAGTTTTGGAACCCTGAGTCCAATTCAGAGTTTATCCTATAGCGAGTATCACTTCTACAGTGCTTTACGGTTACATCTGACCTCATTCTGAGCTTCAGGCCTCACAGCAACCCTCTGAAGTAGAACGACCACCTGCTATTATTCTTATTTCATACAGAATTAGGGCTTCCCAAGGTTAAGTTACCAGCCCAAGGTGAATCCTGAGCCAAGATGCAAAACCCCAAGTGCAGGCTCTTTTCTGTACTATGTCACTCTACAAAGTAAAGGAAAATGTTCTGACATTTTTCATGAACCCTAGTTGAAAAGAGACCCCACTATGAACTAACACTGTGCTAGGTGTCTTGTATTCCTCTGGCTCTTGGGGTAAAGCTCAAAGTATTTTACGCAGTTCTATAACGTCCAGCCCTATTTCTCAAGGTTTTCTGCCCATTTCTTTTCTTTTTTTTTTTTTT